CTATGACGGCTGAACTAATTTCATTTCCTGTGTATCGGAACATAAAGCAAACAATATTTGCGAAACATAATTAGTAAGCTCAAATTCTCGAAATTAAAGTAAACAAGAGGCATATACAATCAAAGGAATAATCCAGCATAATATAAAACAAAACTTTTCTCAAAAATTTAGCCACAACATTCAATAATAATAACTATTATCTATAAATAACTAGTTTTATCGCTTCCTTATATATTACTGTCCATCCTTCCCGCTTTTAAATGCACCTATTTCCGCGAAAAATTACTCATATGTGAAGCTACATATACCATGCAGTATTAAAATACTAGGACTTTACAATCACGTGCAAGACATATTACCACCCGATAGAGTCACATATACGACAAAAGAATCCTATTTTTACTGGCTCGTATTTATGAATTCACAATTGTATGAATCATTAGATGTGATCAACGTGGATTTCTTAAAACGCTCTCGTTTGATATAAACGTACGTTAATGAATAAGTGACATTTTGTTACAAGCCTGGAGATGGCTGTCAAAATTCAGCGGAGTTTATGTGTCAGAATGAAATGTGAAAACATTTAGCAAGACTGAGGCATCAAATGCGATATTATTTTCTTATCCAATCTTTTTTTTCACGTTATTATTATTATTATTATTGACTGTTGTAGCAATATTTATTGGAAAGTTTGTATTTCAGCCGTTGGTACTTGTTACGGAATGGCTATGTAAAGCTATATATAGATTGTGCCGGTTAAACGTGGTTAAAAATATTTTGACTTTGTTGTTTCTGATGACATTTGCCGACTCTCGACTTTTTACTCTCGATCGTCTCTCGACTTTTTACTCTCGACTTTTTACTCTCGACTTTTTACTCTCGACTTTTTACTCTCGACTCTCGACTTTTTACTCTCCACTCTCGACTTTTTACTCTCCACTCTCGACTTTTTACTCTCCACTCTCGACTTTTACTCTCGACTCTCGACTTTTACTCTCGACTCTCGACTTTTACTCTCGACTCTCGACTCTCGACCCTCGACTTTTAGATACACTCGTCAGGCCCTCTTTCAATACCGAGGGCCTGATACTCAGGTTACTCCTTTCTCTGAGCCGCTATGCAGGCTAAAGCCGGTTTTCCACTAGCGATTTTTTCCGCGCGAAGCGAATTTATTCCTTTGTCTTTGGGCAATTTGTTCCAGATGGTTGCAGCTGAGAGCTCTAAAACAATAGCAAAATGTCGCTTCGCCCGAAAATAATCGCTAGTGGAAAACCGGCTTAAGGGGGGGGGGGCGGTCAAACTTTACTTTGTTATGACTTTGTATTGCACAGTATGCACACGGAATCACGGATCAAGTTCTTCTCAAGTTCTCAAGGACAGTTATGAGCTTATTTTCATGATGCAAACATGGACTATATTTTCAATAATTCAGGTAAGTGTAGCTTTATTTGTTTTTGGTACATTTATTTTATTTATTTATTTATTAACATTTTTGCCCACAAAATATATACAAGTAGTAAAAAAAATAATTACAGTAGTATAATGGGCTAGGGACCTTTGGAAATCCTGTTGGACTTTTATAGTAAGGCCCCTAGTTTTAGTATTCTAGTGATAAAAGACTATGAAAGAAGAAATTATATACAAGCAGAAACTATTTACAACAAATTGAAAGATGAAAAAAAACTAAGAAATAAAATAGTACATTACTATCATTAGTGTTCCTAAGGCTATTGCTAAGGTTTTTATAATTTATTTACATTAATTAGATAATAAGTAAAGAGATTTTGCTTTTCTCTTAAAAGAAAAATAATTCCATAAAGAAATTCCTTTGTTAAATACAGTGTATATACGGTAGTTTGTTCTTTCATAACTCACATGTAACTTGGTAGAATTTCGCGTATTATAGTTGTGTACATCGTTATTTTGTTTGAAGTAATCATTATAAAAGTCCGGCAAATTTTGACAATAGTAGCGACGATACATGAATGAACTACATAAATAATCATTGATTTGGTAGATGTTTAAGATTTTCAAATCCAAAAATAGTGGTTTTGAATGTTCCATATAGGATTTAAAACTAATTAGTCGAACAATTTTCTTTTGCACATTCAGTAACTTTTGAAGCCTGGTTGGGTACGTATTTCCCCAAACTAGATTTCCGTACGGGAGGTATGGATAGACTAAAGCATAATATACCAATCAGTTCAAACTGTTTTTGTTAGTAAAATGTCTTAATTTTGCAATCAAACCCGCGGATTTTATTACATTTTTCTGAACTGAGCTAATGTGGTTCTTCCATGAAAATTCGTGGTGAATTAATACGCCCAAAAACTTTACATAAGATGCTTGTTTAATAATATTGTTATTTATTTTGAGAGTAATTTCTTGATTCAATGGTTTATTTCTTGATTTAAAAATGATAAATTTTGTTTTGGATGGGTTGATTGATAATTTATTGGCATTTAGCCATGCCACTATTTTATTCATTTCCTTTTGTATAATGTCAGCTAATGTTTTTAAACATGAATTTGAACAAAGAGCATTTGTATCATCAGCATATAAAACAAAAGAAAGGATGTTACTACAATTTTCAATATCATTTATGTATATTAGAAATAAGAGTGGTCCAAGTATTGAACCCTGTGGGACTCCAGTCGTAACATTCATTTCATTTGACCTATGTTGCTTATATTTGACAATTTGGCTTCTTTCCTGTAAATAATTTGTAAACCACTGTAGACCTATTCCTCTAATTCCGTAGTGTTCAAGTTTTTTTATTAGAATTTCGTGATTCATTGTGTCAAAGGCTTTAGAAAGATCAAAGAAAATACCTATTGTATATGGACCTTCGTCCATTGCCTTCGAAATCTTATCGGTTAGCTCAAGAATGGCATGTTCAGTTGATTTATTCCTTCTAAAACCAAATTGATGTTCTGAAAGTATTTGATGTTTCTCAACATAGTTATATAGTCGTTTGTGCATAAGTTTTTCAAGTAATTTAGAAAAGCAAGTTAAAACCGATATAGGTCTATAATTTTCAAAAAGATTATTTTCATTAGCTTTATAAATAGGACTAACTATAGCTAGTTTCAAAAAGTTTGGTATTTTTCCAGTTTGAAACGATAAATTATAAATATATGTTAGAGGCTTGATTATATTTTCACTAATCTTTTTTATCATTTTCGCACTTACTTCATCATGTCCTGCACTTCTGTTTTCATTTAAGTTATTAATTTCAATTTGCAATGCATATTCTGTCACAGGTTCAATAAACATACTTTCAACATAATTACCATTAAGGTAGCTTTCGTATGTTATGTTATCATTTCCTGGAATTTTTTTTGCTAGTTGAGGGCCTATATTTACGAAATATTCGTTAAATTTGTTAGCAATTTCCTGAGGATTCGTAACATTGTTATTTGAACTCTTTTGTAAAAAAGTATCAGGTAGATTTTTTCTTGTTTTATTTCTGTTAAGAACTTCATTGATAGTTTGCCATGTTTTTTTTGTATCATTTTTGTACTTTTTTGAAAAACAAATTGTTTTTCATAATAGGCCTTTTTTGCGGTTTTTATTACGTGATTCAGTTTGTTTTTGTATTTTTTATAGTCTGTCTCATTTTTGTGAGTTGGATTTTTAAGAAATTTTTTATAAAGTTTATTTTTCTTTAATATGGACTTAAATATACCATTTGTCATCCAGGGACTTTTTGTGTGGTTTACAAATTTGTCTTTTATTTTTACTAAGGGAAAACTTTTATCAATTGCTATCTTCAAATTATCATGAAAGTTCGTATAGGATTCACATGGGTCATTGGATTTGAAAGTACTTTCCCATGATATATTTTTCACAGATGCTAGAAACAAGTCAAGATTATTTTCGTTTATTATTCGTTTGAAATGTGAATTTCCCGTTTTGGGGTCATTATTGTTTGAGGATAAACAAGCTATATGAAATATTGGGAGATGATCTGAAATATCTGAGAAGATTAATCCGTTCACGCTTGAATCTATATGTTCAAGATCGTTTGTAAAGATGTTATCAATTAAAGTAGCTGTATGCTGGGTAATTCTAGTTGGTCTATTTATAAGTGGAAAAAACGATGAGGTAAAAAGTTGCTCACAAAATCTACTAGAATATTCACAATCATCAGATTTCAAAAGATCAATGTTAAAATCCCCTGTCAAATATGTTATTTTCCTTGTTTTGTCAACTTCCGTTAGTATTGTATTTAGTTTATTTTCAAACATTTCAAAATTACCACTTGGCGGTCTATAGATAGTACCAACGATAATATTTTTACCAGTTGTTAAAATAATTTCAATGAAAAGCGTTTCAATTATTCCATCCTCGTTTATATTCAGGTCAGTTCGTAGTTTGTAGTTTAAACTATTTGAAATAAAAAATCCTACTCCGCCGCCTTTTCTATTTTCCCTGTTAGAACAAATAAAATCGAAATTACTAAGATTGAAATTTTCACTATTTTTGTCATTAAGCCAAGTTTCAGTTAAACTAATTATAGAAAAGGGTTGTTTTAAAGTATTTAGTAGATTTCTAAGCGAGTCAAACTTATTTGCTATATTATATTTATATTGCGATGACATGTTAAAATGAGTGAATTTTGCTTAAGTACAGTACAGTAAAGTAAGACCTCAGCTGAGAAACTCATGCTAACACAAAAACTGCCTAACAAAATCATACCAAACTTTCACCTATTAGAGCATAATTGCTCAGAATAATTTTAAAAGTGAAACAAACTGTTTAGTGACAATACTCAGTGTTTGAGAAGTGTTTTCATTAGTTTACTATGATAATAACTTGCTAACATTAGTACTAACACAATGTCAAGCCACGTTGAAATACTGAGATTTAGTCAAACACTCATGAAATCTCAGCGACTTATACAACAGGTAAAGACAAGTATTTTGGTGGCTAGATCTTTGATCTACAGTAAAGTAAGACCTCAGCTGAGAAACTCATGCTAACACAAAAACTGCCTAACAAAATTGTACCAAACTTTCACATATTAGAGTATAAATGCTCAGAATGATTTTAAAAGTGAAACAAACTGTTTAGTAACAATACTCGGCCTTTGAGAAGTGTTTTCATTGGTTTGTCATGATTATAACTTGCTAATTTGAGTCAAACACTCATGAAATCTCAGCCACTGATACAACATGTATAAACGACTATTTTGGTGGCTAATCTTTCAGCTACTTTCAGTGAAACCAAATTTACATTGAGATGACATGTCAAAATTAGTGAATTTTGCTTAAGTACAGTACAGTAAAGACCTCAGCTGAGAAACTCATAATACACAAAAACTGCCCAACAAATTTGTACCAAACTTTCACATATTAGGGTATAAATGCACAGAATAATTTTAAAAGTGAAACAAACTGTTTAGTAACAATACTCAGTGTTTGATAAGTGTTTTCATTGGTTTACTATTATAATAACTTGCTAGTTGGTTTAGTAAAACAATGTCAAGCCACCTTCAATGGCTGAGATTAATAGTCAAAGACTCATGAAATCTCAACAACTTATACAACAAGTACAATAGACAAGTATTTCGGTGGCTAGATCTTTGATCTAGTTTCAGTGAAACCGAATTTACATTGAGATAACATATTAAAATTAGTGAATTTTGCTTAAGTATAGAGAAGAGTAAAACCTCAGCTGAGAAACTCAAGCTAACACAAAAAGTGCCTAACAAAATTGTACCAAACTTTCAACTATTACAGTATAAATGCTCAGTATGATTTTAAAAGTGACACAAACTGTTTAGTGATAATACTCAGCGTTTGAAAATGTCAAGCCACCTTGAATGGCTGAGATTTAACATGCAAACACTCATGAAATTTCAGCCACTTATACAACAGGTATAGACAAGTATTTTGGTGGCTAGATCTTTGATCTGCAGTAAAGTAAGACCTCAGCTGAGAAATTCATGCTAACACAAAAACTGCCTAACAAAATCATACCAAACTTTCACATATTAGAGTATAAATGCTCAGAATGATTTCAAAAGTGAAACAAACTGTTTAGTAACAATCCTCAGCATTTGAGAAGTGTTTTCATTGGTTTATTATGATTATATAAGTTAATTAGTTTAGTAAAACAATGTCAAGCCACCTTGAATGCCTTCAGGAGAGTTACAGTAGACAAACACTCATGAAATCTCAGCAACTTATAGATCAGGTATACACCAGTATTTTGGTGGCTAGATCTTTGATCTACTTTCAGTGAAACCAAATTTATATCGAACTGACATGTTAAAATTAGTGAATTTTGGTTAAGTATAGTAAAGTAAGATCTCGGCTGAGAAACTCATGCTAACACAAAAACTGCCTAACAAATTTGTACCAAACTTTCACATATTAGGGTATAAATGCACAGAACAATTTTAAAAGTGAAACAAACTGTTTAGTAATGAACTCAGTCTTTGAGAAGTGTTTTCATTGGTTTACTATGATAATAACTTGCTAATTGGTACAGTGGCCCATAAGTGCAAAACACAATACACACTACCAAAACACAATACACACTACCAAAACACAATACACACTACCAAAACACAATACACACTACCAAAACACAATACACACTACCAAAACACAATACACATTACCAAAACACAATACACACTATCAAAATACAATACACTAAACCAAAACACAATACACACTACCAAAACACAATACACACTACCAAAACACAATACACACTACCAAAACACAATACACACTACCAAAACACAATACACTAAACCAAAACACAATACACTAAACCAAAACACAATACACTAAACCAAAACACAATACACTACACCAAAACACAATACACTAAACCAAAACACAATACACTAAACCAAAACACAATACACTAAACCAAAACACAATAAACTAAACCAAAACACAATACACTAAACCAAAACCAGGGCTGCCAACCCTGGAAGTTTTCAAATCTGGAGAATTGATATATGAATTTTTTTTTGGCGACGTCCCCCCCCCCCCCCCATCGCCAAAAAAATTTCGGTCAGTGTACCATTTTAGGGGTCAAAAATTTTTCCGGACATATAAATATTAACTATAAATTGCCTGAATCTCATGATTTTCCTACAAAAACCATCGTTGGAAATGTGATTTATCGCGTACTGTTTTAAAACTAAAAGGGCACTTCTGCCCCCCCCCCCCTTCCGGCATCCCTGAACACAAATAACTGTTGATTTCAAGTTTCACAATATTATGTACTAGTTTAATAAAATATCGACATCTTTAATGACGTGAATACGGGTTAAAAAATCCCTGTAAGATGAAGTGTTTACGGAAAATGGCACCATTCAACCGCTGATTAAGGGAAGCCTCACATATCGAATTTGTCCATGAGAAACGTCATATGTTCGTTTCTCTGGAGACCCCCCACCCCCCTTAGAAACGTCACACATAGTTATCGATATTTTGTTCTTACAGTACACTATGAGTACACAACTATTTATTTTTTTTCGGTCGGCTATTGGCGATGTTTCCGCGAGGAATATGTCATCTTCTGCTGACATACTCTTTTTTTATGAATATATATATGAACTTCAAAATTTCCAACGTTTATCAAAACAACTTTTTTGCATGAAATATTGATAATTTTAGCGCGTTTTTCTTGAAATTTGAGTGTTTTCAATGCAAGGAAGGCGTAATAATATAAATGTATAGGTATAGAACAGGTATGGTATTACGAATATATAGACTGCTGTTTGTATCAAATTGTTTTCTTTTTTATATTCTGCAAAGATAAAAACTATCGAATTTTTCCATGATGTTTACAGAGAAACGTCACAGCTGCCAACCCCCCCACCCCCAAACGAACATATGACGTTTCTCGTGGAAAAATCGATTTGTGAGGCTTCCCTAAAAGCAACGCAGCCAGCAACGAAATAATTTTATTTTTATCAGCAAAACGAATGTGCAACGCAAATAATTTTTATTGTTAAAACCTTTGACAATGAAGAATCAAATGGCTAGTGCATAAATCGACGTTGGTGATTATCCTAATCCGGGAGAATTAAGACAAAATCTGGAGACTGGGAGATTAGGTCTAAAATCTTGAGACTCCCGGATAATCCGGGAGAGTTGGCAGCCCTGCAAAACACAATACACTAAACCAAAACACAATACACTAAACCAAAACACAATACACTAATATGTTAATTTATGAATCGAACCGCTGACCAGTATTAACGCAGATTAACACAAAAATCGTGCCAAATTATTTAAAAATGGCGGATGCTGAGCAAGAAGAAACTATAATTCGACATTATTTCTCGTTAAATTACGACTACAATACAATTTTGAGTTTTCTCAAAAGAAATCATGGGATAAACATTTCAAAAAGAACGCTTTTAAATCGTTTAAGTGAGTATCAGCTCCATAGAAGACATCGTAATGTTGATGAAGAAATTGTTCGAGAATGCATATTAACAGAGCTGGACGGTTCCGGTTCACTACTTGGTTACCGATCGATGTGGCGTATTTTACATTCAAAATATGGCGTCAACGTCCCAAGATCAGTTGTTCAAGTCCTTTTGGCTGAGCTTGATCCGGTGGGAACCCAGCAAAGAAAAGCTCATCGTCTGAAAAGGCGGCAGTATTCCAGCCCCGGTCCCAATTATTGTTGGCACTCAGATGGGTACGACAAACTAAAGCCGTACGGCTTTCCTGTTCACGGCTGCATTGACGGATATAGTCGAAGAATTATCTGGCTCAAACTTACTAAAAGTAACAACAATCCGCATATTATTGCTTCATTCTTTTTAGAATCTATTAAGGAATTACAAGCTTGTCCGACACTCTTACGAACAGATAGAGGCACGGAAAATGGAAGTATGGCGACAGTGCAGTGTTTCCTTCGGAGAAACCATAACGATTCATTATCCGGTTTGGGTGCTCATCGTTACGGCTCATCGCATACAAATCAACGGATAGAGGCATGGTGGTCCTTTCTACGAAAGAACTGGAGTTCATGGTGGATTAACTTTTTTAAAGATATGGTAGATACTGGGGATTTGGACACAAGCAACAGCATGCATATGGAATGCCTTTGGTTTTCATTCAAGAAAGTAATCGAAAATGAGTTGAGTCAAGTTCAAAGTAATTGGAACAATCACTATATTCGCAAATCAAGGTACCAAACCATGGCTGGGATTCCAAACAAACTGTACTTTTTGCCAGAGGAAGTTGGATCAGAAGATTACCAGAAACCATTTAATCCTGCTGATCTGAGAGAAGCCGAATATGAAGTTCACTCCACCGATACAGATAATTCTGATGATGAAGAAAATGAAACCAGTGACTACCAACAATATTTTAACTATGCACTTCAAACACTTGGAATTGATCACCCAACCAGTTGGAGAGAAAGGTTGCATGTTTATCAAACATTGTTATCTTCTGCCACTTAGTTATAAAGTAATTTAATATGGCTGTAAGCAATATGCATGGGAATAATGCCTGAAAACACAATCAAGTTGCACTCACAAAGAACAACTAGAACAATTGAAAGTTGCTTTGTTGGATTTTTATTTAACATGTATAATTGTTACACATTATGCATATACTTTTTCCCCCAAAATAACAGAACGCAATTAAACCATCAAATATCCTTGAAACGTTATATGTGGAGTACAAACAGTTTAACGATACATTTATGACGCTTGACCAAAACTGGAGGAATTTAAAATATCCAGATCCATTTTTCCCTTGAACACTTCATATCCTTTGTAGACTTTGGGCAGGTGTGTAAGGTCGTTGAGCACGTATTTGCTCTTGGCAAATTTCCATCATGGAACTCAATGACAATGGTGGGAGATGTCTCAAAATCCATAGGTGGAGGGACACTGGCTCCAGTGATAAAGACAAGCACATCTTCAAGCTTGGGTGATGCTTCATTAGCTAGAAATGAATACAAGTACTTCAAATTTTTTCCTGGAATATATATTTCCTTGAAATAAATTGTTAATTATGAAAAAAGATATTAAAATTATGGTTACATGAACAGGGACTTCTTTGTGATTGATAAAAGCAGATGTGATAATATTATAACATATCAAAATATAGGTTTATAAAACCATCACAAAATTAAATCATAGGTGATAATATTGTGTGAAATGTTGGGTCTTTAGATTTATATTAAAGTTATAAATTCCTTGTATGTTTGCATGGTGATATTTCTAATGTCATTTTTGTATTTTGGGGGAAACACCACTATTATATTTATTTGACATACAAATAATGTATTTTTATTTATTTCTAAAATTAATAACTGTGGTATCTTGCACAAAAACAATACTGATATATTAATGTTTTTTTCAAAAACAATTTCGGTGATCGAGAATACATTTTCTTTTGTAAATATCAATTGTTTTATTTAGGCTCTTTCATTGTTATGAACTCTGCAGCTTCCGAAAAACTCTTACTGAGTTAACCTTACACGAATCCTTTTAAAATTATGATTAACCTTTTACCTTGACAATCTTGAAGGTAGTTCCTGCAGTAAGCGAGAACACGTTCTTGTGAATCCCTTTCATATTTTGATCCATGATCTTTAAATTTTATACGAAAAAGATTATGCAAAGATTCAGCATTTTCAGTGTAGTGTTTTTCATTAGCAATTACCAAAACGGTGTCAAAAATTTACCAAAACAAATACGAAAAATTTGCCAAAACAAATAAAAGTTTTGTAGCTAGAACCCTGAAATATATAAAATGTATATACTTCACTGGCTAAAACAACCGAAAACTAGCTTAATACATGAACGCCCATACCTGTAGATTTTATTTTTGTGGAGGTAGCCAATCTTTAAATGGAGCTAGACTATGCCACATTCTCGTACCCAGAGCCCGCCTTATACACACAATCAACAGGGCATGACAAGGACGCGGTGTACGAGAATGGGTTTGCCTCAACAGTCAACTGCAGATCAAAATTTAGCCTCTGAACGAGAACAAAATGCCAAGTGTGTCAATGTCATGTTTATGTGCATATTCTGGGTATTTCAGTCTTATTTAATACAGCGGAATATAGAAGTGCATTCTGAGAGTTCTTGCAGTTATTCCAGTTAGTCAGTAACTCCTGGTTTAGATAACAAGCTCCAAATGATTTTTGGAGTTAGCAACACAGCAAGTAACTTCAACCTTACATGTTTGTACCTAGCGGCTATAGGCTGACTCGCCTCGCTATACACATACTTTTTGGAGTTAGGCAGTAACTCAAGGCTTAGATACCTTGTTTTTTCATGATTTTTGGAGTTATACGTAGCTCCAAATGATTATTGGAGTTAGCCAGTAACTCCAGGCTTAGATGCCTAGCTCCTAAATTATTTTTGCAGTTGTATACTTAGCTCCAAATGATTTTTGGAGTTAGCCCTTTAGAGCTTGGAGGTAGCATCGCTCCATAACTTCCTACTTTCTACAGGCATGTGAATGCCTAGGGAGAAGGGGCAATTTTTCCCGGAACCAGACTTAAAGGACCATTTCCACTCAGGCCGTAGCTATAGTATATATGTATAATCAAATATTCATGTTTATACATACCGTAAAAATAATCGTAATGCAACCCCACCCCCCAATTATCGGTATAGCTACGGCCCTGCTTCCACTCAAGAAAATTTTCTCCACGGACAGAACAGTGTTCCGAAATATTATTTTTAAAAGTTGAAAATTTTCAACGTCAACATTTTTCTCCCACTGAAAATTTGTGTCATCCAATATATCGCATTTTACAAAATTTTCTCTGGAAAATTTCACCCTGGAAGAAAATTTTGTAAAGTGTGATTGGCCGACACAAATTTTTTTTCCGACACAACGGTAAATCTTTGAAGAGTGTTCTGAAACGATAAACAGTAATTTTTTCCTCACGCTTCACGTAAATTTTTAGTGTTTTCACGACTGACGGTAACCGAATATATACAGAGTGTATAGATCTGGTAGCACGTGCTGGTATAGCCCAGTGCTGGGAGAAACACGAAATATAAACTTACATGAAGTACTTCCTATATGTAAGCGTGTAATCTTGTATTCTTGTTTCCCGCTAAAAATTATACTCGAGCTCATCGAGTCATCACCTTTGAGTACTTTTTGTTTCCAAAATGAAATGTATAAGATGTGGGGTAGTCAATTTAGAAGAATTTAATTTCTGTCACAATTGTGGAAAACAGGTGCAAGTAGAAGGACTAATCCAAAATGAAACTAAGAAATCAACGAGAAAAATGTCCAAAAGAAAGTACAAACTTTCGATCAGTTTCGTAAGCGATTGTCTTCTCAGCGACAAGAACAAATAAATACAAACAAAAAATTTAAAGCCAAGAAGAATAAAGCAGTTGCTAGCACGGAGGTCATGATAAACATTGGTTTAATGAAGTTAGTCAATGGAGTTTTTAAACCAGTTAAAGGAAAGGCGATTATGGTTCGTGTCCTTTCAGATATTCGTAAGGTACCATTGTTAAGCAAAGCACTTGAAAAGCATTCAGCACATGACCGAAGTTTTGATCCAAACAAAGACTACACTCTCGCCTATCCTGATGGCACTGAAGTTCTCACGTTACCTGGACAACCTGCTCAAATATTTCAGCTGGACAAGTACAAGGAAGACGTTGGTAAAAGCTTTAACCGCATAACATTGTACCTTGTACAGAGAGATCTTTTGAACAATGATGGTGGAAATGAAAGTGACGACTGTGAGTTCAGCAGTGAGTCTGTTCACTCTGTTACTTCAGAGGAACCTTGTACTTCTGCGGCAAGTGCCACCAATAACACATCAGAGGTATCTGTCAATGACCCTAATTATTGAATTGTTTTAAGTATATATTGTTTTAAATACTGTAGTTGGCAATATTAAAAAATTCACGATATTCCATTTAATATATGTACCCCCTCCTCCCCCTGCTATATAAAAGAGCCTGAAGGGATAAGCTGATCTTTTGCCCTGGAATTCCTCAGTGATACGAAGGCAGGAATGTAGCTATAGGGGGGTGGGGGGGGGTGTAACACCCCCCAATAGGGGTGTATTAAACACCCCCCAATAATTCAAACATTGGTCAAAGTTGGTCAAAATGAAACTGATATTTGCCCAAAGTTGATCAAAATGGAACTGATATTATAAGGTAAAACTCGGAAAAATTTGGTGAAAGTTTTGGAAATAAGATGGTCGAAGTTGTTAAAAGTTATGAAATGGTTCGCACTTTTAACAATTTTAAAGCTTCAGTTATGTTTGCGGTGAAAAGGTCGGAAGCATTGCTTATATTGGTCGAAAATTTTTTAATATGCTTATAATAGTCTATATTAGTCCGGAAAATATTTTTGACCTCCCCCCTAGGAAACGTTGGTCAAAACATGACGACCCCCCCCCCAATGTTGATGGCTTTGCGACGTCCCTGTATGAAGGGACCAATCATAAAGTACAAGGGGGGGGGGCTGGAAAAAACAGGGTGTGGGTCATCCAATTTTGAACATCAGAAAGGGGGTGGGTCATTTAAAATTTAACAACAGTTTGGGGGTGGGTCATAGTAAAATGTGCTTGATTAATATATAGGTTTCAAAAGGTATAGAGATCATTATTAAATATTATCTTTACAAAGCATGGCTGGAAAAATGTCAATGAAGAAATACAATATGTATTAAACACAAGATTCCGGATAATAAATAGTTGGATTTAATCACGGTTCTTTTATCACAGTTTTATCAGACAACAAATAAAAGATATTCTTAATATTTTATAAATTATGAAGGTTTATCCATGAGTTTTTCGTCATTAAATTAGTGTGTACTACTTGTTGGCTACATCATGTATTACACAATAGAAAGAACACAAAGGAAGTGAAGAGAAAGAGAGACTTGGAGCAAGTATATTTGAAGCAAATTTTCAATGCAAGGGTTGGTCATCAATTTTTATGCGAGGGCAAAAGAGTGGGCCATCAATAATTATGCCTAACTTGTGGGATGGGTCTTCAAGAAATATGTTTTTAAAACTTTGAATTTTCCGGCCCCCTCCCTGTACTTTATGACCGTCTCTAAGGTACATTGTATTTTGATTGTATATCTTCTGGGGTGAAGTACATGCAGCCTGCTTGCAGCCCGAAATTTCGTCCTAATTGTCTGTCTTCAAATTTTAGGGGGGGAAGGGCTGCTGAGCAGGCTAATATAAGTATGTGTAAAAACACTAAATTCTTCAGGGGTTCTGTTTTATTAGGAAATCTTCACTACATCACAGGTGTTTGTTGTTGTGGGTCATGTCATTCTGATCCTAGTTAATTAACCCCATAGAAGGAATTATTCAGTTTTTAATGGAAATTAGCCCAATGACAATTCATGAAGGAGCGATCCTTTAAGTCAAAATGTATGTGCTCTCCACCCAATTTGTTAAGTAGAAGAGCTTGGATTTTTAATATTATACTGTACCATATTTCAATTAATTAATTGAAATCTCAAAGTTGAGTAATTGAATGGTAAAAAAATATTTGGTGCAGTTTTATCATGGTATTGCCATACATTTAGTATGGCTATATTTTGGTTGTACAGTACTGAACACATATGTAAATAGTGATGTTTAATCTTCTATAGGATATCCTGCTGCAGTCATCATGCAATTTGAGAAATTCGGAAACATCTAATTCACAACCTGTAAGCTCACAACAGAATGGTCGTTTATCTACATGTAGCAGTGGTAGCCAGACTCACAGCAGACATTCCACTAGCAGAAATTATGCATCAGGATCTTTTAGGTAAATTACTAATTAATATTTTTTTATTTAACAACATAAGTACAGTCCTTGCATCTATAAGGACGAACGGTACTGATAAAAAACATTGTCTTCTCACATGATTTAAATTGTGACAGCAAATCAGTAATATAGCTACAGTTGGTACTATATTAAGGTTATATAAAAAAATGATGCAACTAAATTGAAAATAGACGAAATTTTTAATTAATGTTTTGACTTTTAGTGAGGGCCAGTTTAATATCTGCATGATGTGGTTCTGGTTTCATATGCTGATTGAAACATATGTTAAAATATAGGGTTGACATATTGAAATTCAGTCCAATTAGGTGTACATACAATGTATAATGATAATCAGATATAATAATCACAATTTCACAAATCAAATAAACGTTCTGAGATTTGATTTTGCATGTTCGTATCTGATTTCTAACCCCTTTTCTTCAGTATTTAGTCCTTGCATATGTCCTTGAATTTCACTCTTCCTCACATGTACGAACCCTGTTTAAAATCTCACAGCCATGCGTATATAGTTGCATCATTTTATAACATTCTGTTAAATTTTTAGTGCTGAGGAAAACTAAAATTAATCTGTACTTGATCGTGAAATCATCGCTCTAGTAATTTTTCGTTGGTTTGCTAGTGGCAGAAAGGTTAATGTATTATGCAGTTGCATGTTTCTGCAGAGTTTTGTCACGCAATATTGCAAATTATATTGATCGACTGATTGCTCTAGCAAATTGCAACAGACGCGAACAAATTGCAATTTTTACGTACTAAAGTAACAGTATTAAACCGTCAAATGCAAAATTCAAAAGTTTATAAATAAAGTCTGAATGGTACAAAACAATCCAATAAAATGCTTGGCATCGACCTCTCGACGCGACCTTTCGATCGACAAATTGTCAACATGTAAAAATTGCAATTTGTTCGCGTCGGTTGCAATTTGCTAGAGCAATCTGCCGATCAACAATGGCATTGCGTGACAAATTCCAATGTTGCCGGCAACGTACGGAACACCAAATTTGACGTAAAAGTATTTTTCTTTAAATTGTAGTTGCGAGGCTGACTATACATCCGCAGAAAGTACACAAGCATCTACAAGTAGTGAAGTTCTGGATGTACTGAGCACACCCAAATCATCTAACGAAGTTGTATGCGATTTAGACGAAATTTACGCCACGTTGCTGTTCGACGAAATAAATTCCGAAGTGTTTGAATACGATCTCATGGAAGATATAGTAGAAACTAATGTAGATGACGTTATTCATGACGACATTGAGGAGAACATCACATTGAAGGAAATACTATCGAATCTTGCAGAAGCAACGTCCTATGATCAAATTTCAATCTTCCACTTAAGTCGAAATCATATATGGGAAGGTACCAAAAGGGCGATGAACAGAAAGTCGTTTAGTCCTGTGAATAAGTTATCAGTAAAGTTTACGGACGACATCGGTCAGTCAGAAGGAGCTGTGGACATGGGAGGTCCAGGGAGGGAATTCTTTACCCTTATCACAGAATGACTGGTTAATTCGCGACTTTTCTTCGGTGGAATATCGTCAAAGTTCCTGTCGTTAAATGCAACCTGCTTAGAAGAACGGGAGTACTTCATGGCCGGACAGATTTTCGCCATGGCACTTGTACATGGTGGTCCAGGTGTCAATTGTCTCTCAAGTTCATGTTACGATGCGATTGTTAATGAATCCGGAACGCAGAACCTCAGTGCAACACTTGATGATATTCCTGATTTTGAGATGAGAGAATCGCTTGGCAAGTTATTACAAGCTCCTTGTGTGGATGCTGCTCGGAAAATCATTAGCGACGAAAAGTTGGATACCATATTTGACATGGCAGGCACGTTGCAGATGATTAGAATTAAGGCCAATGTTGACAAGATAGTGCAGCGCACCATCAACTGGTATGTGTTGAGGAGAAGTCAACCAGCATACTACAGCTTCAAGGAAGGCTTGTGAGCCTTAGGTGTACTCAAAGCCATGTTGAAATACCCAAATTTGTTCAGAGAAACATTTTGTTACAATTCAGAACCGTTAACCGTTGGCATGATAATGTCTGTTTTCAAAGTGAAGCGTGCAGAAGAAGGTTCGAATAGAAGAAATGTCGAAAGGCTAGTCCTGTCGCACTGAGCCAGACCCCACACAAATCAACCTCTCGGAAATTTTGTTCTTTGCATCCGGTTGCAAAATCTTTCCTCCCCAAGGCTTACATTGTGAATTACAATTTCTGCACGAAACTGAAAAAGATGGAAAGTTATCCAAGTTTCCTAAAGCTAACATGTGCGCGTGTATCCTTAATCTGCCGGTTGTTCATGGTGATTACGAAAGCTTCAAGAACGCCGTAGTGTTCGGCATTAAAAATGCTCGTGGATTTGGCTGTGCATGAACAATCGTATATATACATCCAGTACTATACCAGTATTGACTGTATGGATTGAGAAAAAATGTTTGCATTAGTTGAGATTAGCGTAACAGTTGAGTTTTGTTTAGGAGAACAGTGTTTTTATTTGTATCATACTGATGCAACAACCTGTTTTATATTATTTGTACGTGGCTATATTGTGTCGAAGTAATCATATTATCCCTATATGGGACGTAGCTATAGCAGGGAAAGTAGACATAAACCGCCAAGAGTAAACCGACAACAACCCCAAGAGTAACAGGTTTGCAGAAAATCCACGTTAGTAAACAGATAGGATGAACCAGTAAAGAATGTTAGTATTCCATCTACGAGATACAGAGTTGCATTGGTAAAAATATTTTTAGATCGTTGAAAGTGTGATTAAGCAGCCAGAAATGTTTATATGACATATGTTTATATGACATATGACATGAATGTTTTTATTTTCTTAAATGAAAGAACTCTTTAAGCTGTAGTGTAACTTATTTTTCAGTTTCGTTTTATGGTTTGTTCCCGAGATATTGAAATTTGTTTGGCATGTAAATGGTGTGAATATGTCCGCTAATTTATGACGTCACGTTGGTTGAAAGCTCTTCAAAATGGTTGAATATCACGGCTATCATCCAAGATAATAATTTCTAACTTCACTCACTGGTAAATGTGATAAAATACTGGAGAAAACGTGAAATGATATCTACAGTTTTTAGAGTTAATAGATCTATAACCAGTGTAAGTGGAGCTTGCAACCAACGTGACGTCATAAATTAGCGGTCATATTCACATCATTTACATACCAAACAAATTGAAATATCTAAGGAACAAACTATGAAAACAAGAAACTGAAAAATAAGTCACACTACAGCTTAATTTAAAGAGTTCTTTCATTTACACTGTAAGAAAATAAAAAAATTCATGTCATATGGACTTTAAGATTTTTAAGTAAACAATAATAATTTGCTTATCATGGTGCAAGCTAATCAAATATGACATGCATGCATTAGCATTTTAACATTCAGGCCGTCTCTACGTCCATGCATGTATAGAGCTATGATAAAATTATAACTTCTTATATTGAAAACATGCAAGATCTGGAAATTTATTCCTGGATTATTGTAACGGATTCCTTTTATACATGTATAAGGTATTTAGCTGTTAGTAAACATTGTCATTGACCTATATATAAGTTTCTAAATAACTTAGGTTATGTGTTAACGAATAAATACTTTAATTTCCAGTTACTAGCGGAAATTGGGAATTCCAAATTGTTTTACGTCTATTTCTAATGGTTATATATATGGTCGTCGATCTTCATTAAAGAATGGTTTGTTCACAAACAAACATCAACTAGAGCTGGAACAATCTTAAGCAAATTAAGCTAAGTTACTGTATAGATAACTTTCGTTTTACCAAAGGCAAAGCTGTGGAAAATTAAACCTTTGAGCGAGGAGTTTGTCCGCCTGACTAGCAAAACGAAACATTATTTTTATGTTGCATGCATGGTCACAAAACAAACTAGACTGAATCCATTCTATACAATATACTATCATACATCATTCCATGTTAAACCTGTTCAGCAAAATTTAAAACCGAAGTGTAAATTCTAAAAACTATAGTTTGTTCAGGGATTTCCAGAAAATTTTAGGAGTTCCCTCAAGGAAAGAAGCCGACTGCCCGACTATATATCGCAGCTGACCAGTTAGTTCAAGACGCCGGACGACTATTACCGCTATATATGACATATATAATCAACCATTTGCAAACTGAAGAAGATTATTGTAAAATTCTAACGCTTCTCTCCAGTGGGTCGGTTTCTGTAATCCAGCAGTAGTTACTATATTGTCAATGGGCCACCGTATTTAAACGATTTAAAAGCGTTCTTTTTGAAATGTTTATCCCATGATTTCTTTCGAGAAAACTCAAAATTGTATTGTAGTCGTAATTTAACGAGAAATAATGTCGAATTATAGTTTCTTCTTGCTCAGCATCCGCCATTTTTAAATAATTTGGCGCGATTTTTGTGTTAATCTGCGTTAATACTGGTCAGCGGTTCGATTCATAAATTAACATATTAGTGTATTGTGTTTTGGTTTAGTGTATTGTGTTTTGGTTTAGTGTATTGTGTTTTGGTTTAGTGTATTGTGTTTTGGTTTAGTGTATTGTGTTTTGGTTTAGTGTATTGTGTTTTGGTAGTGTGTATTGTGTTTTGGTAGTGTGTATTGTGTTTTGGTTTAGTGTATTGTGTTTTGGTAGTGTGTATTGTGTTTTGGTGTGTGTATTGTGTTTTGGTAGTGTGTATTGTGTTTTGGTAGTGTGTATTGTGTTTTGCACTTATGGGCCACCATATTTCAGCATCTTGTACAGATACTACTGTAACATTACCCCCAATACGATCCCACACCACCAAGTAAAGTTTTAACTGTTAGCCAAGAAGCTCTCACCTGAACAATTTCAAAATGCACCACCTTCATCAACGTTGTGCATAACATGGTGTAAACACCATATTTGGCAGAGTGCCCCATCGAGTCAAAACAACCATCACCTGACCATTCTACTCTGTTAAGCCCTTTTGCCTTGTCTATAAAGGCTTTTCCAGTAGGTTTTCCAGTAGTAAAATATTGATGGAAAGACTAAATGCCTTTGATGTTGAAAATATGTTCGAATAGAGAACACTGCAAGACCCATGTGGCGAAAGACTAACAGAATCTTGCTGATAGATGCCCCCAGCCATCAGGACAGCAAAACTAAGCATGACATTACCATCAGCATATCGACCCAGTAATAAAGGCTGAGAATGCCAAACAAATCCATTGGTACAGTTAGCACATTTTTGGGTAATAGTTACCATGGTCCTCGTCTGATTCATCAGAATCCTCAGATTCATCTCCATCAATATCTCTCATAGGAAAACTCATCATCATCATCCAAGCAATATTCACACAATGCTTAGTTCTATTTGCACTTGCCAATTTCAATTTGCAGGGACAGTTAGGACTGCATATACTGGTAAGTGGTGTGGATGTAGCCTGGATCAATGTGGATGGTGACATGCTTTTGTCTGCAGGGCCAAGGGTTTCTGGTACTGCCTCTGTTGTTACCACATCTTTCTGGGGCATTTGTTGACATGCTTCTGTTTTTCCTGGGAGGGCAAAGGGCACTCAACTGCTGGTTCTACATATGATTGGACTGCCAGTTCTATAGCTGATTCGACTGCTGGTTCTATAGCTGATTCGACTACCGGTTCTACAGATGATTCTAAAGATGATTCGACTGCTGGTTCTACAGATTTCTTTACTTTCTTCTTTGCTGGTTCAGCCAAAGACAAAGGATCTCATTTGTACTACATAAAAACGCCAAAGTCTTGACTATATGTCAATTGTCATTTACATATCAGTTTGTCGAATAATTGGTTTGTAGTATAGTGTTTTATATAGTCTAAATGTTTTGGTTTATTCACAAAAACTATGTCTATATAAACAATGATGAAACTACAGTAAAGCAAAATTAAACCAGTTCTGGAATTCTCGTTTGATCATACGGTGTCGGTAATATGTTAGTATTAAAATATGTTGATATATGCATATTTGCCAAATCCTATTTGAATATCAAATTATCATATAAATGCTATTCATGCCCATTGGCATTGCCAATATACATTTATCTACGCACAAAATAACTATTAATTCACAAACTATATGCTAGAATTACCTGTCTTTTATCGCGGCCCATATGCATGTATCTATGCACAAAATAGCTATTAACTCATTAATGCCCGTATGCGCCCTGAAATTGACAGGTGGGTAACGGACAATGCGCCCTCAAATGACACCTCAACTTGCGGGCATGATATTTGAACACGTGTTTATCGGGTTGCCCAGTAACAGATACGAAAATAGAATGTGAAATTCGAGCTTTTCAACGGTGTATCATGCAAGAAAATTGGTCAGAAACTCGCAAAGTTTTTCAAGTTTAAAACCTTAGTTTTTCAAAAATAATGAATAATGGAGATATTGTTGCAAAGAAGGATTTTACAGCAAGTTTTAAAAGCGAAAAAAGAAGAGGTTTTCAGATGATATACAACGAAAATTTGGCATGAAAGGAAAGCGAATGTATTGACGTTTTGGGCCAAGTTTTTCTGTGAACCTTGCGCGAGATTTTCAGCCAAAAAGATGAGGATTTCTCCAAACTTTATTAAAAATAGAAGTCGGAAATCACAACACAAGTGAGCAGATACAATTTTTTAAAGGGTATTTTTGAGTAGAAATATGCAATCAAACACTCACAAAATTCGACCGCATTAATGTTGGTTGAATCTAGTTTAAAGTTATCTTTTTAGACGAACTGTTTATGCAAATTTGGGCACAATCTCGACTGTTTTTGTGACCCCATTGTTGGTCTTCTTGTTCAAGTTGTTATTTTAGCTAAAGTATGTTTCAAACGACACCAGATTGTGCGTATGTGACCTTTTTTGACCTTTTTGGCAAGAATACTTTGAGTATTAAATTACACTAAATAAGTAGGATATTCCAAAGTCACTGTTATATCTATTTTCATCAATTTAGTCTTAAAATGACAACTCGTTTCAGACATATTGTGGTTTAAAATAAGTGTATTGAATAAACGCGCTTGCTTGCCACGTGCGAATTCTCAAAAGGTCCGCACTTGAGTTGTAAAGCTTTCAAAATGCTTTTTTACTGGTTTATTATATCCCGGGGCCCTATAAAACTTTAAATCGATAAAGCAGATAATAATGTTGATGAAACATCATTCTCTAGTAACTATACACATTGAATTAGAAGAAAAAGTTATCAAAATAGGTCGTGACGGTTGTTTGGCAAAATGCCGCTTCTCTCTGAAATGGCTTCCTTTGCGGGAAGCAATGAAATTGAAGTTCTAACAAAAACTAACCTTAGCAGTTCTTTTGGGCCCATTGCTCACTTATTTATCATGAAATCGCTTCACTAGAACATTTTTAATACTGTCTATGGAAAACTTTGTAATTTTCTGAACTAAAAGTTTATGGTTTCGAGGTGTTTATTTTATAAAATAGCACGCGTGACAAAATGGCACTTTTGTGGTTTCTCACGTCTGACAAACAACCAAAGATGAAAGTCCTTATTTCACCTTTTTATAGCTATGTGGAATACCTGAATATTAGGTTATCTTTTTATGTGAGTATACAGATAACATTTCTACACAATAGTCCTTATGAAGGTTTATTTCAAACTAAAAAAAAACGAGTGTTTTTCAGAGCCAGACTTCAAAAGAGAACGTGTGTCTGACATTTTATAGCAGCCTACATTGGCGCGCAAAATAATTTTGGCTAAAAACCGTTGCTTTTCCAACAAAAACATGAGAAAATTGAGCTAAAAGTCTTACCTGATGTATGTTTAAATTGTTTTTCTTTTTATGGTGTTTTTCAGTGGTTTGAGTAGAGAGGTTAATAGCTTTTGGTTTTGTCACCACAATTTGCCTTTTGAAAATGTCGGCTGTCATTGTCTGTGTTAATAACACCTCAGAAAATTCCTATTTTCTCACCTTCCCATCCTTGGTTTATTGAAAATAAATAGATTCTAGTACCATATGTCCTTATAAATATATTTGAAGTAATTCAAAACTTGAAAGATGTACAAGCACTGTGTTTTGGCTTGCACACTTTGTTGAATTTGAACACTTAGTTACTGTTCTAAATTTCATGTTGTAAACATCTTGCCCAAAAAAGCAAAGGAGTATATTTTATAATTTTTGATCATTTTCTAATTCATATCTCAATAGATGAAAATTGGTTATTAAAATAGATATGTACTAATTTAGTGAATAATTTTTTTTTTGGTTTTTATATAAATTTATGGAGATATTGCCCCTTTAGGTGAATAGTGACATGAAGAACAAAATGTCACTGCTTTACAAATAAAACTTCTCATTGAAAAACTAATTATATATATAGGTATGCAAGTTCATTTAAACTAAATTTGGTCAATCATATATCAATAATGTTTGGTTGAAAAGACCAGATTTTTTCATGCAACTGTTTCTGAGATATTGCCATTTTGGTGAAAGCTCTTGAATTCAATCATGTATTCGCCATTTTGCTTGTCCACTTTGTGGGTAGAAACATTGTAACAGCTTGTGCGTTAATGAGTTAATTTACAAACTATATACTAGACTTACCTGTCTTTTATCGCGTTCAGTAAGGATGATTTCTTCTCTTTCCGACGATACAGAGTCGATGGTTGGGACAGCACTGGTACATGGGAACTGATGCATCCGTATTCCATTTGTGAACGTTGAGTTAGTACAACTAATATCATTTGGCGTTCCAGCGACACAATACACACGACCTCCTCTTTTCCTTGCTTCATTACCTTCCACCATATTTACATTAAAAAAATCTCGACTTGCAACCAACCCGATGTCACCATTATGATTTAGGCCGCGCAATTTGAAGGACACAGTTAGGTTCGAAATGCGGAATATGTTTGCTTAATAAAACTGCTTCTTTTTATAGTTGGCGTTTAAAATTTTGCAGACACACTTTTTAAAGGTCGTTTTTTATTGAAATGTGTAAAAAAAACATTGTGTCATATGCACTTTAATATATGAAGAGCGTTCAATGTTTT